CTGCTGCCCGACATCCCTTTTGTGAGGACGCGGGGACCATGGGCACGACTTCCCTGGGCGGCCGCGGGGCGCGCCTCCTCGCCTGAGGGAAGAGAAGCCCTCTGCGGGAGAGCTGACGGAGGGAGGACACCATCTGTGCAGGCAGAACAGTAGGCAGAGAGGTTTCCCCTCAAGGCCCAAGTGCCGGGCAAGAAGGACACAACGGCAGAGCTTCACAGGGCCCGCCACACCTGCGCGAGCTGCCCAAGCGCCAGTGGCTAAGCGCTTGGTGCTCCGTGCAGGGTGAGAGCTGCTAGCAGAACAGCCGGAGCTCGGGCCGGGCCTCCCGACTGCACTGCTGCGTGGCCGGGGGTGCAGTCTGGGACGGAAGCGTGGGTCACGGTCTGTCCCCCTCTTCCCTAGAGCCTCTACGTCCGCCTCCACTGGGCACAGAAACTGCAGCTCCCAGAGGGTGAGGTGTGTGAAGGGAGACGAACAGATGACGAGACGCAAGGGAGACCTAAGGGCTCCTGGCAGAAGGCCAAGTCCACACACGTGTGCCGGGCACCAGGGACCCAGGGCCGGGGCGGCAGGGACGCAGCCTCGGCACTACCTCTGACACGGGGGCAGTATTCCCAGGCACAAGGGGGCTTCGACCGAGGAGCTAGGAAGAAGACAAGGGGAAGAAGTGGGCTTTGCTTGGATTTGCTATTTCTGGAACTTTCTGGCCCCAGAAAACTCAAAGCTGGAAGAGGTGGTAAGAAGGGGTGGGGGAAAGGTAATGGAGGCTACACTCCAAGGGAGGAAATGCGCCCATTCTGGAAGGCATCCGGGACTTGTCCCTAAGCCCCCCTGAAAAAGGCACTCCTTCCAGCCAGAAGGTGAGAGGAGAAACTCGGCCTGCCTTTCCCCACAGACCCAAGCAGCTGGCAAGACAGGCTCCTCTCGGAGCCCTAGGCCTTCCATCCCTGATCATTACATCCTTGCTGTGGAGGAAAAAAAGCCAGTTGCAAAGAAGGAGCTCAAAGTTTTAAAATGTAATTCATTGCTAAACGCAGGCCCCAGATCTCAAGAAGGGCCTGGGAAAACTGCCTGCCTCAGAACTCACTCGTTTCTCCAAAGCTGCAGAGTCCGGTAGGTATGGTGACCTCTAGCTGCGTGTGGCCGTTTCCATTAACCAAAGGTAAACAAAATGGAAAATTCAGTCCCTCGGTTGGACTAGCCACATTTCAAGTGTTCAATTGCCATATGTGGCCACTGGCTACCATACTGGACAGTGCAGACAGAGAACACTTCAAGTACTGCACAAAGTTCTAGTGGACATCACTGCATAGACAGTAACTCAGCGTGGCCAACCCATCTTTCCCCCTACTAGGCAAAGTTCATGGGCCCTCAGTAAATGTTTTAAATTAAATTCAAAAAAGTTACGTAGGAACTATTCTGATGCTGGCTGAAATAAAGAAAGAAACTGAGGTCATCTCTATCATCGCTCAACCAAGAAGCTTGGCTGGTCACCTAGGATCTTAACACAGATCTGTGAATGTTAAGAACATGACATCAAAGGACTTTCATAATTACATAAAGAATATATGTGTACAGATAAACATACTTGAAAAGAGGAAAGGGCAGAAGGAAAAATCTCCCTCCCATACTTGAACCCCAGCCACCTAGTTCTCCTCTAGGACAACCAATATTTCAAGTTTTTTTCATCTTTTGAGATACTTTATGCATTGTGGGAGGCAGAAGAATGGCTCCCAGAGATGTCCACGCTCTAATCCCCCAAACCTGTGAATACGGTAACTTACAGGGCAAAAAGGGCTTCACAGACGTGATTAACTTCAGGATCTTGAGATGGGCAGGATTATCCGGATGAGCCCAGTGTAATCACAAGGGTCATTAGAAGAGGGAGGCGGGACAGTTAGTTGGAGAGAGACAGGATGATGGCAGCTGAGGTCAAAGCGATTCAAGACTGAACCAAGAAATACAGGTAGTCTCTAGAAGCTGGGGAAGGCCAGGGAACAGGTTCTCCCCTACAGCCCGCCCCCAGAAGAAGCACAGGCCTGCTGACCCATTTTAGACTTCTGGCCTCCAGAACCAGAAGATACTAAGTTTGTGTGGTTTCAAGCCACATTTATGGCCATTTGTTACAGAACCAATAGGAAATGAATACATGCATATGCAAGCAAATATGCACGTGTATTTTCCCTCGAAGCATAGTCACTCTTATCAGTAGCTGACTATAGTCTAAAAAATCTGCCTTCCCACCTCCTCTCAGGCCTGAGACACACTGAAAAATATAGGAAGATTTTGTAGATAGACTTCAAATCCCACCTATCTAAATGTTTAGATGGCTATTTAATCAAGCAGGAAACAATGAAGGTTGTATGTATTACTGCCTCAATCTTAAAGATAGAAATGGTGGTTGAAGGAACTATCCTAGAGGTCAAGAGCCTTGAGCCCTTGATCATGTCACTTAATGTCATGGGGCCTCTGTCTCTCCAAGGAGGCAGAAAGGCAGGATGGGAGTGTGGGGAGGTGAGTAAACTAGACATGTGCTATGTTTTCCGGCTTCTAATCTCTGAGTATGCTAACCCAAAAGTTTGCTATATAGTATGAAGATGAGAAATTTTTATTGTGCTTAGGGAAAAAAAAAAGCAAAAATAACTGCAGGCATAAGGCACAGTTTCGGTAGCAGGCCGCTACACTCAGTGTGGTAATTACACATCATCCTTTTCTATCACCCTACTGATACACAGAACATCTCCGGAATTCCCCAGAAACTGGTGACGGTGGTTGCGTCTGACAAGGACAAGCTCGGTGACTGAGGGCCAGGAGTCAAAGGAAGATTTCAGGAAATAACTTCTCCTACCTTTTGAACCTTGTAAATATATTACGAATCCAAAAGGTATTTCAGAAGAGTAGGTTCTTTTGGTTCATGGTTTCACACTTTCCAGAAATAACTACAGCTCCTCTATCAGATACCTGTTAGATTCACCAAGCACTCAGCCAAAGCTTAGAAGAATCTCAATGTCCTCGTCCAACTTAATCATCTCTACCAGCCACACACCAGAGAAACAGATGTGCTCTGTTACCTGCTATAACTTCCCAGCGTGGACAGGCCCCCTCCCGCACCCACAAGGAGGCAGGACGAACATCAAGACCGCTGGCCTTATCACGGCACCCAATGTCACACAGCAACTTCCACGATCCCAGAGTCCTTCACTGTCAGAAAGGACTCCCGGGCCCAAATAACCCTGGTTAGGCCAAAAGAATATTTCCTCACTCACCCTCGTCTGAGGACACCTCAAGGGCATCTTTATTTCTACCTTGTCCTCCTTTAGCCATTCTACCAGTTATCTGCCAAATTTAATAGTTACATATACACAAGTCTCTTCTCTTCTCTGTTGCATAAATAGTAATTTCCAGGCAGAGAAAGAGAGAGTCACAATATTTTGAATACAAAAGAGCAATGGTAAGCACGTGGACAGCCTAGAGCCATACTGGGATCAGCACAACTGTACAGGATGCTTCTGGAGGATGGGCAGCTCTCTAATGACGGGGCTCCAATCACATGAAAGAGCACATAAAACTATCGGCCACGTTATTTAACGATAGTTCGCTTCCTTCTTCCTGGAAATAAAATAAGCATCCTACGGGAGGTGAGAAGAACCCTATAAAGAGGCGCTTACGGACAGTCACACTAAGGCGGAGACTGTCTACCCAGTACTCATTAAGACTTAGAAGTCTAAGAAAAGGCACGCAAACTTGAAGCCACAAAATTTGGGAAACGGTAGCAGGCCATTTTCTAGCATATATTTCCATGGCTGTAACAGAATTAAAAAAAAAAAAAAAACTAAAACGCACAAAAAGCAGCCAGTAGGTCCTGAAGACATTCCTTCCCAAAATCAGAGTGGAAATACGAAATGGGCCGGCAAGGGGCAGGTGCCAGCACGAGAAAGCCCATCTCAAGGGGCTCTTTCCAAGTGGCCCAGCATGGATCATGCAGGGGCAAAGCTGGCCCTACTCCATCCCCTTTCCCTGCCCACCGTAAAATGACACTGATGAGACAACTTAAGCTAAAGTCCCAGATCAGCCTCCAGCACTAAGGATGCAGCTGAATGATGGAGAGGGAAAAGCACAGGACTGGAAGTCAGGAAGCGTGCATCCTGGTCCCACTAATGCAAACTTCAACATGTCCCTTTCTCTCTCTGAGCCTGTTTTCTCCTCTATAAAATGAAAATCATTTTATCTATGACCTCATGCAATCCTCTAGGGCATATAAGGGTCTCTACCCTATAATTTCATATAGTCTCTTAAATAAAATCATAAATATCAGCAACAGAATAGGAATCTTCCTTCCAGGTTATTCTTCCAGAGACAGAATGTCAGGGCTGTTAAGACCATGTAAAAACCATAATAAAGAGTGGTCTGAAAGGCCTTTTGACACCCAAAAAGGGATGATCCAACTACAAGCAACAGTCCTTTCGCCATAGAGTCCTTGCAGGATGGACCTGAGCCATCAGAAACATCGACCAGTTGTCCCCACCAACGTCCCACCCACTAACCCTCTCAAACATACCATTATCTGCCCTCCAAGTGTGTTACACTAGCTGGGGAACAGGAGACCTGGGGACTGGAGTCCTGGCCCGGTCCTGTTAAGAGTTGAGAATCCACAGTATTTGTTCACCGGGCTAATCTGGCAATCTGCTTCCCTCCAGAGCAGCCTTGGACTCTAGATGCTCCAGAGCAGTTCTACTGTAAATTCACAAGCGTGTCCCGACCTCGGTGCAGAGATTACCTTTGCGGTGCTTTCTTTTCAGGATCATTACAAAATATTAGCAGCCTAGCTGTAAATGCCAGCTCTGCTAGCCGTCTCAGTGTGTTCGAGAAAATCACATAACCTCTCTGGGCCTGCCCTTTGCCTATAGACTAAGAGGGCTGAACCAGATGGTGTCGGCTCTTTTTCAGATGTAGCAGTCTAGGTCTAGGACTCCCATGGAGACAGAACCAAACTACAGCACCTAAACTTGGCCGTGGAAAGCAGCATGGGTACTGACCACATCTGCCCCCAGAGAGCTCCCACTGACTAGGCTTGGTGGGTGGGTGGCCAAGATTCCTGGGGATGCTCCAGCAATCCAAGGGGTTGCACGTACCTTTCCCTCATCCACCAGTTTCGCAATGTCATCTAGATACACACCACTGGCTATGAAAAAGGCCCAGCGATAATGGACTCCTTGCCAGAAATGCTAAAAAGAAGAAAAGAAAACACATCAAATATAGGAAAGGATAAAATCTCACTGAATACAAATTGAGGGGAAAGTATTTTCTGGATGATTAAGATAGACAAACCGATTTCCTATCCATTATGAATCAATGAGCTGTATGCCCAACACCTCAGCACAGTGACCGACAGAGAGCGGATGCTCCATAAATGTTTAATAAATTAATGAATGAACAAAGATATATCCACGTGAACTCAGGCTTTTTTACCAAATTGTGAATGACAAGCAAGTAAGTACAGGAAAGCTGTCCTTAAAATGATAGGCTAGTCTTACACATTCAATTTCTTCCCTAGGAGAATTAGAGGCTGAGCCCTCTAGGCTTTCTCTCCTAGGGTTTAAATGAAGCTCAGAGGCACCAGAGAAGAGTTTTTAAACCTAATTCAAGAATGCTTAGGGGACAGTAAGGCACCAAAATATGATCTTAGACAAGAAATCCAATTACAGATTTTTTTTTTTTTCTGGAATAGAGTCGCTTTAAGGGCAAAACAAAGTGTAAAGTTCCTTATGCATCATGGTTGGGTCTTCCCCCTACAGTTATAACAAGTCCCAAGCCATCAAATCTATTATGGGACAATACGTGCCCAGATAAAAATAAGCAAAAATCTTCTACCCAGAGGGTTCATGACCACTTTACTGCCATACCCGCTTCCAATTGCCAGTCTTTCTGTCAAAGGTAGGGTAGGCCACTGTCAAAAGAACAACTTAACTGACATTCTCTATGATACCTACCTCAATGACCTGCCCAAGTAAACTTCATCAGATGGGAGCTATCCAGAGGTAGTATGGGATTAGCCAGTACCACGCGGCCTCCCTCCCTGCACCTTCCTGTCTCACAATCCCTCAGCATGCTTGTCAAGGGCATAAAGTGGTCAAGTGCAATGGAATTCCCCTGTTACTCTAGCTCAGGCACTTAATAGCTGTGTTATTTAGGTCAAGCCACCTCTTTCAGCCATTTTCCTGGCCTAAAGAATGGTGATACCACTCCCTTGCTGACAGGCTTATTGGAAGGATTAAATGAGAAAGAATGCAAAGTGCCTGATAACACAGAAAGTATCATCCGCACAAATATTTATATTTATTATTCAACAGATACTTATCTAGTGCTGAAGGCAAACTTAAATACTGAGGAAAGGTTGGGGCAATACCAAACGGAGTTTCAGACGAAACCACGCCGCTGTCTGGGCAGAGCTTTGCAATGGTGGTATGAGGACTGGCTTACTGGTTTGGACGAGTGACCCTGTAATTTCTTATCTAACCTGGAACAATTCTGGGAGTTAGAGGAGTCATCATTAATAATTATGCTGGGACCACAGGTGCAAACAGAGCCCATCTCACCCTAGAATAGGTGTGAGGAGGTTGAGGGCCCTCAGCCCACAGGGTAGCAACGCAGAGCCTGGGCTGGTGTAAGTCTCCAGGTAATTTGCTCTTGGCCCAGAACAGCCTCACCATCTCTTCAAACACGAACAATTTTCTATGGGTGTCACAGCAAGAAAGAGGTTGGGGAGCACTGCTCTGGGCAAATGAAGTTAAAAAACAAAAGGAAAAAAAAAAGTACCATCTGAAGGCACTGAGGTGTCCCAGGCTGCCGGCAGGCCCGTTTAATTACAATCACAAAAGACCTGTCCGTGTACTTCTCCCTAAGGCCCGGCCTCAGACAATTAAAACATTCTGGTAACTGTTTAGGGTTTTAAAGAAAAGAACAGCAATGGTCAAAAATGCCATGTCTGTAATTCTTTACAGCATGTTGCCCTGTAAAGTGAAACTTTTTGGTCGGCAACAAATTAAGGGGCCTTAATTTGCTCTAAGGGGCCTGTGTATTTTTTCCAGGCCATTACAAGACAAAGTAAACCAAAGCAGGCAGGAGTCTGGAGCATTACAATGAGGCTTTAACTGTGCACATTCTCAGAAAGACATCAGAAACTACTTAAAAGGTTTTCACATGAGATTACCACTATCCTCTTTCAAGTAGGAGGAAAGAGAAGATGCCTGTTTTACTCTCAGAGGACAACTCAGAAGGTTAACTTGTAAGAGGTCTCACTGAAGTACAAACTGTGAAATCGTAAAGAAAAGTTAAATTTATATTTTGAAGCACTTGGAAAGCCTGGGTTTTCTGAAAAGAGAAAGAAGAGACAAAGGACAGCTAAGATTCCTTTCTCCACACCGAAGTGCCCTGTGGACACCGTTTCCGGTTGCCGCCTGAATCAGATGAAAATGAAGAACCTCGAGTACAGGACCTGGTTTGTTCACCTCTAGTAACATACACACTTCCTAAGAATGGAGCAGTGGTCTCCACTGTCACGGCCCTCTAAGTATGTAGTTAGTTCATGGAATTCAAGAGACCAAAGTCCTAAATTTCACCCTCAAAAAGGTCCCAAAGAGAATTTCTAGAAGAAGCAGCAGCTAATCACTGAGCCATTCATTCCATATGTACGGGTCAGTGTTGGTCAGCTTGGCATAATGACTCACAACCTTTTCACCCACTGAGGAAACTTTTACTGTCTTTTGTCTGAATCTGAAATATTTTGTCTAATTAAAAAAACAGACTTTATCTCCTTTTTTTTGGCCTATCACTTATACCATTTCAACATTAATACAGATTTCAAGCCAGTGATCTGAGTTACCAAGAGTGGATAACATGAAATGATCTAAGCCTGTCCCCACCGTGAGGACAACAGGCTCTGGTGTTAGGCAGGTAGAGAGCGCACACTCAGGCTCTGCCGTCAGCCCCGCGACTAAGGCTGTTGTGTGCTCGTCCTCAAGGCCCACCACACGCTGCCTTTGTTCGGCTGAGTGATGTAGCTCCTTACGGCTCTGGTAACAGTGGCCCCAGGTAGCAGAGTCAGGCAGACTAATCGAGTCTCAGAAACACCCAGAATGCCATCAACAGCTAGAGTATCTGACTCACATGGGATGCGCAGTGTTAGGACAAGTTGATATAATTCTAGAAAAAGCATGATGGTTCTATTTGCCTCTGTGGTCTTACTAAAGTAAGAACACAATTCCCTTCAGGTTTTCGAAATTCAAAAAAACGCCCATGGACCTCTACAGGTCTGAAGGCCCTGGTCTAGAAATCACTGGCATATCCCAATGCGGCTACCATGAAAACAACCAGCTCTATCCTGTCTTAATAAAGCTTCTGCCCTCACATACAAGAGCCTGTATGTGTTAAGGCTGGTGAAACAGAGAGAAGACCATCAGGTATAGGCAAGAAGGAAGATGGAATCAAGAAAGGTAATTGCTAATAAGAAAGCTGAACATTTAATAAGTTTTATGTACTAGGCATTGTAACCAAATTCTTTACGTGGATTATCTCATTTAATCCTTACAACACTCAGTAAGGAAGATACCCTATTAGTTTCATCTTAGAGGTCAAGACATTGGGGCTTAGTGACACTAAGTAACTTGCAAGTTACACGGCTATTAAGTGGAGACCAGAATTTGAGTCTGGTCCGTGTGTGAGGGCAGAGTCCTTACTGCAGCCACCGTGCCATGCTGCCTCCAAGACAAAAGAGACTGGCTAGGCGGGAACCCAATTCCAGAAGCAGGAGGCACCTGCTTTCTCTCACCCACCAACACTTCCTCCCTACCTTCAATGCCTTAGAACCCACGGTGACTCCTGTCTGCAGCATGCCGTCTGCGATGCCCAGTCGGTCCATGTTCAGGAGAAAAGGGGTCACCAAAGTCACATATGTGGCTCCTGACCATTTCTTGAGAAAATTTAGAGCCCATGTTTCAGTGGATCCACCAACATTATCAAGAATGAAATCAAACCTGGAGAGAAAAAAAAAAGTCAAATCAAAACATCCTTGTCCGTCTTTACATAAGGTTCCAATCCCCCTTCCTTCCCATCGACAGTCAGCGATCGGGTTTATTTCAACGACCGCTCACTAACCACGCGGCACCGTGCCATCCAGCAGAGGGGTGCTTGCTTTGACCAAGGGGAACAGGGCACTCCCACTCACCCACTCTGGCTTTTCTCCAAATTAGGTCAAATGTGACTCATTTTTTTGGTCATAAAATCGTTATCATTTTTCCAATACGTTAAGAATGACTGAAACAAGTGGTTCTCAACCGAGGGCAATTTTGGTCTCCAGGGGACATATTAGGCAATGTCTAGAGACATTTTTAGTTGTCACAATTGGGGGAGGTGTTGGGAAGGAACTGCTGGCACCTGGAGGCCAGGGATGATGTTTATACACAGAATGCACAGAACAGCCCCTCACAACAAAAAATTATCCAGTCCAAAATGTCCATATCGTTCAGAAACCAAGCTTGCCAAGGTTGAGACACCCTGACCTCAGCTTTATGGAAAACTGCAAAGCTATCTATCCAATACAAGTCAAAGTATTCTTTAGTGCACTTGAATACTTGAAAGAAAAGTATAAAAGCTTCTCACCCATACAATGATTTGCTTTTATTCCCTCCATAACCAGAACTGCTTATAGAAGCATCCTCTTCATCTGGAATTTACTCCTACTTTTTGGCTTCACACACAGCATCAGGACAATGTATAGAGAAATCAACAATCTGCTCTCAGTCTTCAATTCTGCTCTAACATGCCCTCAAAACCCAGTCCCATGAACTGAGGAACTAAGACACACAACTCCTTAAATCCAATCTAAACCTGCTGTAATCACTGCATTCCACTTACAGGGGATAAAACCCAAGAACGCTTTTAAATATTTTTTTTATTTTTTTAAAATTTATTTTAATTATTTTATTTTTTTTTTAAAGATTTTATTTATTCATTTGAGACACAGAGATACAGAGAGAGAGAGAGAGCATGAGCAGTGGGAGAGGCAGAGGGAGAGGAAGCAGACTCCCCGCTGAGTCAGGAGCCCGATGTGGGACTCGATCCCAGGACCCTGGGATCATGACCTGAGCAGAAGGCAGACGCTTAACCATGTGAGCCACCCAGGCGCCCCTTAAATATTTTTGTAAACAAATATCTATTTAGAAAATGCATGCTTAGGGAGCCTGGGTGGCTCAGTCGGTTGGCTCAGGTCATGATCCCAGGGTCCTGGGATGGAGCCCTGAGTTGGGCTCTCTGCTCAGCGGAAAGCTCTGCGTCTCCCTCTGCCCCTCCCCCCCACCCCCTACTTGTGCGCATGTGCTCTCTCTCAAATGGAAAGGAAAGGAAAAAGGAAAAAGGAGAGTGGGGGCGGGGAGGGAGGCGAGGGGAGAGGAAAGGAAGAAAGAAAGAAAATGCGTGCTTATCAGTTAAGCAAGTTAATAAATGAATTGTTTTGGTAAATCCTTTTTCCCTTCTAAATTCATCAAACATCAAAACTTCTAAAATCAGTTTTGGCCAAATTTGTGGATCTTGAGCCTGCGTTTCATGGAACCAAACTGCAGAAGGACAAATAAAAACTGAAGGAAAGGAGAATGACCTTACTGGATGACTACTCTTCTCATTAGAAAAGAACAGAAAATTATTTTTATCAGTTTAAGTTTCTATTTCATTCCCAAGTTTTGAATAAACAAACATGATGATACTTAATTGAAATAAAACTTAGAGGCGGCCTGGTATTCTGGAACAGGCACTGCCTGAAAGAGAAGACAGGCTGTAGACTCAGCTCTTCCACTAATGCTTAAGTGGCATGACCTTGAGCATGCAAAAACTCCTGAGTCCTCTGCCCCTTCCTTTCTCAACAATAACATGACCAAGTTGGACCGAAGGATTTCAAAGCCCTTTCCTGCTGTAATATTCTAAGATTCAAATCGAAAAACCTGCTACTGGAAAGGAGAAGTAAATGTATTCTTGGTGGATTCAGAGGCCAAACTCCAGGCAAAGGTTACAAAGATCAACTGTAACTGAAGTGGTCAAAAATAAATAAATAAAAGTAACAGCCTGGCATCTGCAGGCTGGAGAGATTACCCTACCAGAAAAGAGTGAGCAAAAGCAGCAAGACCACGGACCACGGCAAGAGAGGCAGAGGAGCAAACTGTAGCATACTTCTGGGGCCAGCCTGAGTAGGTTTCAGCTTTCCATCAGTCAGGGTCTCTGTTCTCTGGTGACAAATTCCAGACACGCATAAAACTTAAGGTAGATAGAGAGGAATGGGGTTGGCCTCGACCTCAGTCTCATGCTGCTATTCCTAGAAGCAGCAGAAGACAGGAGATGAACTGAAACTCCACTATCTAGAAGCCAGCTGTCACAGGCCCAGAAAGATGGGGTCCTGATGCACAGGCAGGAAGCAGCTGACGACATTTCTGCAAGGGACAATGGGATTCCTCAATCCCTTCGGGTTCCTGCCACAGGGGTTTTATATTTGCTGTTATCTCGACCTGAACAAGTGCTCCTCTCCTAGATTCCCTCAATCATGCATCAAACAAGTTTTTATGGAGCACCTACCATATGTTACTACACTGTTCCGGGTGGAGGGATACAGCAGGGAACCAAAAGAAAAAAAAAAATCCCATTCTCCTGGCGTGCTCTGTAAACCTTTTGCTTCAGTGCCCCAGAGGCCTTCTTAAACCACCCCCCCCTTTTAAAGATTTTATTTATTTGTGTGTGTGTGTGTGTGTGTGTGTGTGCATGTGAGAGAGAGAGAGAGGCAGGCAGAGGTAGAGGGAGAAGCAGGCTCCCCGCTGAGCAAGGAGCCGGATGCGGGGCTCAATCCCAGGACCCTGAGATCATGACCTGAGCCAAAGGCAGACACTTAACTGATTGAGGCACCCAGGCGTCCCTTACACCCCCCTTTTTAAAACATCCTCCCCATTTTTTTTCCTCTTTTCCCTATATCAGTGTTCTTGAGAGCACTTATCACTGACACCCCCCTGACTAGAACGGAAGCCCCATGGAAGGAGCGGGGCTGGGGGCGGGGGTGGGGGGGGTCTGTCTTGTTCAACACCATAGCTACATGGCATGTTTGTAACCCTGCCTGGCAGGACAGGTGCTGCAGAGTTGAAGGAATAGGGATTTGCTGGCTCCTTGGGGCTGCACTGTCATACCGGTGTTGGGAGTGGGTACTGCTGGCTAAGAAAGGCTAGGTAGTGTCCAATGGGGGCTCCCTTCTGTTTTCTTTTTTTTTTAAACCCATGAAAATACAATCGACCCATTAACAGGTTCTAACTGCACAAGACCAGTTATACACAGATTTTTTTTCAATACACAAAACACATATTGTAAATATATTTTCTCTTCCTTATGATTCTCTTAGTAACATTTTCTTTTCTCTAGTTCATTCTAAAAATGCAGTATATAATATATATAACACAAAATATGTGTTAATGGACTGATTCTGTTATTGGTAAGGCTTCTGGTCAACAGTAGGCTATTTAGTAATTAAGTGGTGGGAAAGTCAAAAGTTATACGCAGATTTTCGCCTACATGGTGGTCAGTGCCCCTAACCCCCACGCTGTTCAGGGGTCGAGTGCATACTTCTACTCAAAGTGGGCAAGAATAACTGGCTTCTGAAAACGAACAGAAAAAGGGAAAAACCTTTGAAAAAGCAGCAAAACATCTTTCCAAACACTCCTCAGTTGTGTTCTCAGCTGCAGTTCTGTCTTGGCTAGATGAAGACCATATTAATAAGCACGCTATTTCTGCCCAAAGCGCAGTCAGGAGCAACAGAGTCTGAATGAATCACTGAGTCTGCTCCTGTTTGGTACATTAAACCAAACCACAGCCTGGTACTCAGATTCACTGAGAACATCCACAGCATTCTGATTACCAATATTTCTACTGACTTTATTTCTCTGATGCCCTTGTTAAGCCCAAACACTGAAAGCATGTTTAGTGCTAATCAAGTATTTTCATGCACTGCTCTATTTGTTCCTGTGGTGACAGATGCCACCAAATAGACCACACCTTCCAATTTTGTCTTCAGACCTCTTACAAATCAACAATAAGTTAACTTAAAAATTAACAAAAGACCATGCAAGCAAAATATTTTCCTCAGTACATACCACATCATGTCACTGTGCTGGATGAACATCTGGAATTCAAACAGAAACCACCCCAAATGACTCTTTATGGGGTATTTTTATAGATTCTTTTTTAAGATTCCAATGTGATTACAAAGTCACCAAACCATTCAGACCTGCACGATCAATTGTCCTTGTTCCCACCTCCCAACGTGAACAATGTCCTAATACATACGGTTTTAAAGATTTCAACTGCTCTTCCACATTTCCAGATTTGTAATCAATTACATCATCTGCCCCAAGCTTCCTTACAAGTTCACTGGCATCCTGAGAGCAAACTGCTGTCACATTAGCACCCCATGCTTTCATTACCTGTCCAAAAAAAAAGAGGGGGAAAGTAGAAAAACCCACTGCGTGTTTTAAAAATAGTTGGCACCCATGTGTACATTTTTCAGACTCCTCTCGAGAGAACTCCAAGTGCTTCGTCTTAACAAGAACTGCAGGAAGCCACCTGTCAGAGACCTAGTAAAAATGATTAAACTTTGATTCACCAAGAATAAAAATAGGAGGTCTTTTAAGTCTCTCTTTACACGATAGGCTCCTCTTCTAGCCCTTCACTTTCTTATAATTTATTCGTGGAAGAATCCAGGCCTTGTGACCAGCACAGTCTCCCAGAGTCTGGGATTTCTGACTGCACAACTCAGGGGGCAATTCTACAGCCTTCTTTGTCCAGTGATTTCTGTTTCAATCTCCTTACCAGACTATGGATAGTGTGTAGCAAAATCACAGGAGGCACATGATGTCTGGTCATTGCTCTTAAGATCTTAGCAGCTGTTTTAATGGCGGTTGCAAAACAGTGATATTCTAATTCTTTTTTTCATTTGTAGTTGAAATACTTTTATAAAGAAACATTTTTCCTCATATATTATTTTGCTTATTCAGGTGTACAATTCATATAGGAAAGGCAAGACGAATAACTGTTTCCCCTTTACCAGTTTATAAAATAAACTGGTTCCCTATCATTTTCCAAAAGTGACTTCTTTTAGGTTTTTACTTGTCAGAGAGAGAGACAGACAGAGAGAGAGAGAGAGAGCGCGCGCACACTCATGAGTAGGGGGAGGGACATAGGGAGAAACGGACTCCACGCTGAGCAAAGAGCCCAATGCGGGACTCAATCCCAGGATCCTGGGATCATGACCTGAGCCAAAGGCAGATGCCTAACTGACTGAGCCACCCAGGCGTCCCCGAAAGTGACCATTTTTTAAAAAAATATATAGGAACTCATGGATTTAAATGTATTTGAAGGTTTTTAATCCATTGTATTACTATTATTGAAGCTCAAATTGTCACATCTTTGAGAGTTTCTTCAAGTTGGCTCCTAAGTCTCCTTGATACGACTCAAGTAGTCTTTGAGGTTTTCTTGCTACTTAATATGTTCTAGGCTCATTCTTGTACATTTTGTGCCCTAGATCTAGAATCTGCCATTTCTCCAAGAAGTCCCACATTCTTTTAGTGAGCAATTATCTATCAAGAGATAGCTTTACATACACAAAGTATCTCTTGAGTTCATATTGATACTTCCAATTCGAATTTAAGACTACAAAGCTTTTACTTAACTTCTTTCCTGCTACCTCTGTATCTCCTTCCTTCCACACCTAAAATCCTGGCTGTCAGACACAGGGGGTGACAGAATTAAAATATGCTATAAATATCCATCTGTTTTATTGTATATAATACACTGAATAGCCTCTGAATAATACTAACACTATTAGTATTAATACTACAGAGCTGATTAATGAAAGCATTAGAATTTTAACAATGCTCTCCCAGTTTTCCCCCGCTTTTAATAAATAGTTGTGCTGTATTTACCTTGTCAGAGGATATGGCTGTTACACAATGTACTCTCTTTCTAAGCCCTTGGTTTTAGTTCTACAGATAAATTTACACTTAACATTTACCACCAGCCCTTAATGTGACGTCTCTCAGTCATTTTGGTTGTCAGAAGCTCATATTCTAGTACATTTCTCAGAAAAGGATAAGAACATATTCCCCGAGTTCTTATAAGTTATTAACAGTTCGTATGTGACCTTATACATGAAGGCCAGTTTTGCTGTATATAAAATTAGTATAGTCTTAGTATACTCTTGCTGGAGTGTCTTAAATATGTTACTCCTTTTTCCCCCCTGGCCTTACAGCACTGCTGTCAAAAAGTCTGATGTTAATCTAATTTTACCTCTAAGTCACACAATTTTTTTTTTAAGTGTCCCAAGGATTTTTTTTCTTTTTTTCAAGTAGGCTCCATGCCCAGTGTGGAGCCCAACACGGGGCTCCATCTCACGACCCTGAGATCAAAACCTGAGCTGAGATCACTCAACCGACTGAGCCACCCAGGAGCCCCTTTTTCTTTTTCTTTGAAAGCCGGTAATTTTATTAACTAGGGTTTTCCTTGATATTGCTCAATCTAGGTCCATGTTCTTAGATAAGCACTGTGGTCATCTAATATGTAGTTTCAAATCTTTTAATTTCAAGAAAATAGGGAATTTTCTTGAATTACAGATTTTAGTATTTGTTCTGTTCCCTTGTTTTGGTTTTCCTCTTCAGAGCCTCTTACTACCTATGTATCAATCTTCTTTCCTGACTTCAATATTTGGCATTTCCTCTTAAATCTGTTTTTCTTGGTTTCTTTTGTAATTTAAAATTTTTCCTATTTATACATTCTACTACTATCTAGGGCAGCATTATGTGTTCTGTTTATTTGCTATTGAATTCCTTCTAGTTTAGTCTTCATTGATAAATAATTGTTTTGTTTACTTTAACATATTTCTGAGTATTCCCAATTCAGTTTTATTTTGTTTTGTTTTTCATGTCTTGTATACTTTTACTTTTTTAAACTTACTTTGAAATTGTAGGTACATTTGGCGATGCCTGGCTGGCACAGTCAGTAAAGCATGTGACTCTTAATCTCAGGGTTGTGAATTCAAAACCCATATTGGGTTAAAAAAAATTAGAAATTGTAAGTTACATCTGATCTGTCTTAGTGGGCATGTTTTCTGATGTGTTATCATCTGTAGATATGTTACTCTATTCTTTATTCTCATAATAACTTTGTATGAGATCTAACCTTGATACTTTTCTATTACTATTTTTATTTTATTAAAATGTTTTTGTTAAAATATAACCCACAGATAAGTGCATGGAATATAAACGTATTACAAAGCAAACAGTATTATAAGCATCACTCTAGATTAAACACTAGAACATGCACCATATTCCTGGGCATCCTTACTTTCCCCTTCCCAATCAAAGCTCCCTCACTGCTTTAGAAGTAACACCACCATCTGGACTATTACATGACCCTTTTTGCCACCACCCCACTCATTTGAAAAAATAAAATAAAATAAATAAAAGGTTTACTCTCTAGGTAGCCATCCTTAAACACTATTCTTTAGTTTCACCTATTCTTGAATGTCATTAAATGGAATCATATAGTCTGACTTCTTTCACTAACATTCTGCCCATGACATTCATGTACCTTATTGTGTGCAACTAGTTTGTTTTCAAGGCTATATAATATTACAGCATAAGAATATACCACCATTTACTTGTCCATTTCATTGCTGACGAACATTTGAGTTGTTTCCACTGGTAGATGATATATCTCTAATCTGGTACATATCTTTTGGCAAACATGCATGTTAACTGTGCAAATAAGTATAGCGTATATTCATAAAAGTGGAACTGTTGGGTTGCCATAGGGCAATTCATATTCAGATTTAGTAGATGGTACCAAATGATTTCTTGAAGTGCTTGTACCAATTTACACTCTAACCAACAGGATATGGTATTTTTCTTTTCCTCCCACCCTCCCTCCTTCTTTTCTTTTCCACTTAGTCATTCATTAACCTACATTTGCTCAGTATCCGGACTAGGCCCTGGGTGTCTTAGTCTGGGCTGCACTAACAAAATACCAGACTGGGTAGCTTATAAACAGAAATCTGTTTCTCACAGTTCTAGAGGCTGGAAATCTGAGATCAAGGCATCAGCATGGTCACATTCTGTGGACAGCCCTCTTCCTGATTCATAGCCAGTGCTGTGTCCTCAATATGGTGGAAGGGCTATGGAGCTCTGTTGGACCTCTTTTATAAGGGCATTAATATCACTCATGAGGGCAGAGCCCTCATGACCTAATCATCTCCCAAAGGCCCTCCTCCCTAATATCACCACATTGGGCATTAGGACTTCAACACAGGAATTTAGGAGGGATACAAACATTTAGACCATAGCAGTATCAAATGATGAACTGAAAAGATGTCAAGGTGTGTGTGCATCCCCTAGGAGTCCTCTCCCCTTTCCCCTAATTTAGTTAGCAGGTAGATGGAAAATTCCAGCACTATCTGGGTCCTCAAAGGATCCAAGATGGGGTCCGGATGGGAGATCATAGCACCCAAAGTCTCCTTCCTGGAAAGTGATGTGGCAGAGCCTCTGAGTATGCTCACTAGGCCCATATTGCAGAAAGGGCCTCTCCCTGCATATTGAGGAGGCTTAATCAAGCCCCCTCCCCCAGAAGTCAGTTAAAAAACATTCAACCCTAATGGGAACCACCACTAGTGCCATCCCGTTTCTGGAAGCTAAGGGCACTGTTTTGTTTTCTTGTTTGAGGTAAAATTCATATAAAAACTTAAAATTCAACATTTCATCAATTTTAAAGTGTACAATTCATTATGTACATCACAATGTTGTGCAACCACCACCACCGTCTAATTCTAGAACATTTTCCTCACCTCAAAAACAAACCCCATGCCCATTAAGCAGTCATTCTCCCTTTCTTTCTCCTCCAGTTCCTGGCAATCACCAAACTGCTTTCCATCTCTATGGATTTGCTTCTTCCGGACAGGATATAAATGGAATCGTTCAAAATGTGACCTTTGTGTCTGGATTCTTTCGCTTAGCATAATGTTTTGAAGGTTTCTCAATGCTGTATCACGCACCAGAACTTCATTCTTTTTCATGGCTGAATAAGATTTCACTAAGGCATAAACCACATTTTGTTCACTCATCAGTTGACAGACATTAGGGTTGCTTGCACTCTTTGGCTACCAGGAATATGGATACTGCTATGAACATCTGTGTACCAGTTTTTGTCCGAACATGTTTTCATTTCTCTCAGGTATATACCTACGAATGAACGAAATTGCCCAGTCATATGGTAATCCTATGTTTAGCATTTTCAGGAACTGCCAGACTGTTTTCCACAGCAGCTGCAGCATTTTACATTCCCACTCGTGTGGACAAGGGTTTCAGTTTCTCTACATCCTGGTCAACATTGTTATTTTCCATTTTCTTTCTTTCTTTTTGTTTTTTTTAATAGCCATCCTAGTAGGTGTGAAGTGACATCTCACTAAGGTTTCGATTTGCATTTCTCTAATGACTAATGATGCTGAATATCTTTCTGTGGGCTTATTGGCCATTGGTATATTTTCTCTGAAAAAAAGTCTATTCAAGTCCTTTGCTAAATTTTTAATTGGGTTGTCTTTTGTTGAGTTGTAAGAATTCTTACATATTCTGGATGTTATACCCTTATTAGAGAAATGATTTGCAAAGATTTGCTCCCTGTGTGTCATCTTTTTCCTTCCTTGATGGTGTCTTTTGATGATGCACAAAAGCTTTTAATTTTGATGAAGTCCAATTTATCTTTTTTTTTTTTACTTCTGTTGCTTGTGCTTTTGATGTCATACCTAAAAATCTGTTGCCAAATCCAAGGTCATGAAGATTTACTCTTGTTTTCTTCTAGAAGTTTGATAGTTTTAGCTCTTATATTTAGGTCTTTGACCCAGGTTTAGTTTTCACATATAATGTGAGGTAGGGGTCCAACGTCCAACTAGATATGGATATCTAGTTGTTTCAGCACCATTAATTAAATTAAAAAAACTACTCTTTTCCCTATTTAATGGTCTTGCCATCCTAGTCAAAAAAAAATCAACTGGCCATAGATGTATGGTTTTATTTCTGGATGCTCAATTCTATTTCATTGATCTATATGTTTATCTTTATGCCAGTATCACAATGTTTTGATTACTGTAGTTTTTTTTTTTTTAATGTTTTATTTATTTATTCATTAGAGTCAAAGAGAGAGAGAGAGGCAGAGGGAGAAGCAGGCTCCCCGCCTAGCAGGGAGCCCGATGCGGGACTCGATCCCAGGACCCTGGGATCATGACCTGAGCCGAAGGCAAACGCTTAACCATCTGAGCCACCCAGGCACCCCTTGATTACTGTAGTTTTGTATTATGTTTTAAGATCAAGAAATATGCACCCTCCAACTTTGTTCTTTTTAAAGACTGTCAACTGGGGGTCTCCTGCAATTCCATACGCATTTTAGGATCAGCTTGTTCATTTATGCAAAAAAGGCAATTGTCATTTTGATAGGATTGCACTGAATCTGTAGATCACATTGGGGGAATAGTGCCATCTTTACCGTATTTTGGCCACTGCATTTCTATATACATTTTAGAATCAGCTTATTCATTTCTACCAAATTGCAAATTGCCATCTACCCCCACTGTCCCCAGCCTTCCTCCCTAAAAGCTTTCCTACATTTGCTATAGAGGATATCCACAAACTAACTCATATATTAAACCACTGGAAAGTTTAATGCTTCCTTCTATGTTAGGAAGTTTCCTTCTTAGAAGAGCAAGCTGAAATTACAATGAATTTACTGAACCTAGCTTTCTCTCAGTTTTTAAGAAAAAATAATTTCTAATATGTGAATTTATAAATTCATGGACATACTCTTTGTAGTCAGAAGACTTTAAAAAAACTGTCTTACCTGTATAGCAAAAGTACCAACTCCACCTGAAGCACCCAGGATTAAAACACTGCAATGCAAAAGAAACTACAATTAATGAAAATATTAGGTCAACATAACTAGATAAATAAATAGGTTTTCAACATGAGCTGGCTCAAAGATAAATAATCCCAAAAGCAAATAATCATTCATCTTCCTAAGATTACACAAGGATTTTCATCTTAGGTTCACCAAGAATCTATAAATGCTTAAACATTCTATGAACTCTTTACCAAGAATACCAAATACCAAAAATACCAACATATTTTTTTTTTTTTTTTTAAGTCACGCAGACGGTTCTTGGTAACATCCGCCTTACAATTTTTCCAGGCTAAAATTACCATAGCTTTCTCTATAGGAGGGAGCTTTGGGATCCTTTTTTAGTGTGTTACAGTAGATTCAGTAGCTCTCTAAGAAAAATCACATTCCCGACCACATTCCTGCCAAAGTGGAATAAATGTCTTTTGTTCAGACATGTCCCGACAAGCTCATCAACTTTCATAAATGGAAATCAATCTTATCTTCAATTTGGCTTCCTGTTAAAGCAGATGAATCCATCCTATCAGCACAAACAACCTTGGGCTCCAGGTTTTTACTACGTCTGCTTACTGTAGCCTTCTTGTCCCTCTAGACCAAGGGTGTTCAGCTTGGAGTTTATGGATGAGCTGGGGTTGGGTGCATGGGGGTGTGAACCCTCTGAAATTGTGAACTGACTCTGGTAACATGCAAAATTTGGTGGGATTCTGCAGGCCTGCACTGGGGAGGAGAAGGATCTAGACTGATTTTCCCAAAAAAGTATGTGACCCGAAAGAGAATCACTAGTCAAGAATCACTGCTTTATGTATTCTTACATTTTCTTCTTCAATGAAGCTAGAGCACCAGAGAATTGCCTATTTGAACTGTTCAGTTTCAGGGCCCTAGAAAATCATTTGTATTGAACTGCACTTTGGTGTTATGCTACCCACCCAGAATGAGGGACATTATCAAAAGCGTTTAATGTTTGATACCACATTAGCTAAGGAGATACTGTTGAGAGAATTCTTCATTTGCTTTCTAAGTATGCACAGAAAAACATTTTTCTAAAGACTACACGGTGGGAGTAGCTGAACTTCTATTTTTCTGTTACTGTAAACTTCATAGCTGCTGGCTATGGGTCCCCCTTTCCCCCCTTCCCTCCCTCTCTGCCCCCATCTCCTCAGCTCTGTACCTCAGTCACTCTACTCTAGCCACACTGGCCTCCCCTGCTGCTCCTGGAACGTGTGAGACAAGTCTTCCAGGTCAGGGCCTTTTCAGAGGGATTTCCTGTTCCTCACATATCCTCAAGGCTCTCTCCCTCACTCTGTCTGCACTCTTCATCTTACCTTCGGTTCCATTTTATTGCCACTGATACCGTCTAACAGCCTAGATCGTTTTACTGTTTTGGGGGTTTGGATTCCATGCCTCTCCCACCACCCTTAACATGCCAGTCCTGGGTTCCCATCAGCTCAGTCCCAACCCAAAATGACTTCCTCTCTCTCAGCTCCAGTTTCGCCAAATATGTGGGTCCCTCTTTGATTTGGTGGCTAGAAAGTGCAGAGAATTTTGCCCCCTATCTCTAGCAAGTGAACAGAACCTCGGGACATGCATTTGGTCTACAATCCTAACCCTCATTTCATTTTGTGTTCTTCTCTCCTACCCAAATCACACAGAAGGCTGTTTTTCACCCTTTAGATCTTAGAAATTACTACTAAAATTTCTGAGCCAGCTATTTCCTTTGAAATTAATACCACTAAATGTAATTAAAACAAGTCTCCTTGTAAATTGTGTTCCTTCCAGAAAAATTATTTTAATTTTCGAAGAATTATAAATTGCACAGAATGGAAAAAAATTTAAAGATGAACTCCTCTAAAATCCTTCAATTCATACACTAATAGCTCGAGTACTTCTTAAGTGGGGAGGTAGAGGGTAGAAAGCATTAAAACTGCCTCACCCCCTATCTGGGTAGCTCAGTCGGTTAAGCATCTGCCTCCGGCTCAGGTCATGATCTCAGGGTCCTGGGATGGAGCCCTGTATAGGGCTCCACACTGAGCGGAGAGTCTACTGCTCCCTCTGCCCCTCCCCCTGTTCATGTTCTCTCTCTCTGCCTCCCTCCCTCCTCCCCGCTCCCTCAAATAAACAAAATCTTAAAAAAAAAATTTAATTCATCCAGGAAATATTCTACTCTTATTCTGGCCCATTCCTATTTATAGAAATGTAACAAGTCAAGCACTCATTTAAATCCTTCACAATCTAATCTTTATCTCAACTCTGATGTCTCACCACTTTCTGAAAAGACCTCTCCATCTCAGTCACCCTAGCCCCCTCACTCTTATGCCCAAGTCTTGTGCACACTGGCCCATTCCTCAGACTCTCAGATGCCTTCGCTGCCTGCTGGATGTCTCTGGCCCTTGAAGCCAAGTCCCAGCTTTCCTGCACAACACCCCTAAGAGCACGCCAAACTGGGTATCAATGCCACACGTCTGGCATTTGCCAGGTTGTTAACTCTCATGCGTACACTTGTGTCCCAAGCTATTCTGGAAGGCTTCGAGGGCAGAGACCTTAGGCCCAGGACTAGGCACACTACCCTGGATGTAGCAGATGGCTGATGTTTCTTAACAGTCATCCGAATCAGCATCATATGCTGCAATCAAGACAACTGCTACTAGCTCAAGTGACGGAATCAGCCGGCTATTTGGAAGACTCATTAAAATTTCCTCCAACGAAGAAAGGCTTGAAATTCATGTCTCCTTCTCTCCCTGGGAAGGCTGGATGAAGAGGATACCAAATATAATGGCTGCTTAAGGATTCAACTGCCAGATACATCTCCAACCTTATTGTTGTCAGTTCTTCACTTCCCCATAACTCTTGATCCAAAGCAGTCTTATTCCTCCAAATAAAAAAGCAAAAACGTTTCACAGTAGTGCTTGGCAGAAGGAATGGTTCTACAACAGTAGCTTCAGTTCCTGATGGCGCCACTTGATGGCGCCCCCAAGTGCAAAAGGGGCAAGGAGCAGGCCCATTGAAGTACCACATACAGTCAGTCAGCTTGTAAAGACCTGGAGACCCGTCCTTCTCTGGCCCTGCAAACTCCATGTTTTGTGCAGATTCAACCAGCCCTGCACTCGTCTTCAAAGAAAGTCCCCAAAAAAGGACAGCAGGCAAAATGAATTTTCAAGCCAGCAAAAGGTGGGTTAGTCCTCCATGGTCTGAAGTCCTATGGCTGAACTAACTATTCTTGTACTCTTCAAAGCCCTTCCAATACAAAGGGAAAATAGCAGCTGTTGCTTACCCCCAGTGGCCCTTCACTGAAGTGCTATACAGCAGAAATGCTTTCTACCCAGCTTGCTATAATAGTCACACTGTATATTCAAGCCTCATTGAAGCAGAAGTCCATTTGCTAGAGTGAAGAATATTGCTTATTGTATAGAGCAAGTGCCCAGGAAATACTCTATTTGGGAAAAAAAAAAAAAATCACTGTAATTCAAAATTGCCAAGCTTTTTAATCACGTTCCGCCCTTACTTCCTAAGTTCACATGAGGAGCTCTTTTTGAAATCAGTGGGGTTTGGACTGTAGCAGATATAAAAAATATGGGAGAAAGTGTGAATAATTATTACACTGCTTATGCATTTTGAAGCCTTACAATTTGATTTTCTCTGTCACTTCTGCCCAATCTCTCAATTCTGCCTAAACATACATTAAGGTACTAACTCAGTGGTGGCTTCTCTTCCATGACTGAGTCATTTTTCACTTAGTATTTGGGCACCTAAGTCCCTCTACAATCACACTGTCAGTATTCCAGCTGTAAGAGGCAAGGCATCAACACCCTGACTGCCTTGCAAAAAAAAAAAAACAAAAAAAACATACATATGAAACCTACTACCAAACAGCTTGAGATCCAGAAGTGAGGAATAAGCTTTCAAATGTCTAGATCCTGGCCTAGCCTCAGAAAGCAGAATGCCAGGGCTGGATATCTAGAGACCTGGGTTCTAGTCCCAACTCTCTCACTAACTGAATCTGCAGACCTCATATTCATCTCCTATGAAATGAGGATCACCCTAGGAGTCAGTATAAAAGAAAACTTGGCATTTTCAATCTTATTTAAGCTTATACATACTTCCCGGTCTTTCTAACATAGAAGTATATGACCTTCATGATTCCCCCCAGACCATGTACTTGTGGGAGGAAAAAAGCCACATTGCAAGATTAGATTACCCTCTATTTAAAGTCCTAATGGGAGGGGCGCCTGGGGGGCTCAGTCGGTTAAGCATCTGCCTTCAGCTCAGGTCATGATCTCATGTCCTGGGATTGAACCGAGTCTGCTCCCTGCTCAGCCGGGAGTCTGCTTCTCCCTCTCCCTCTGTCTCTCCCCCGACTTGTGCAGTCTCTCTCAAATAAATAAATAAAAATCTTAAAAAAAAAAAAAAAAGTCCTAATGGCTCAGAAACAAAGATGAGTTAAATATGGCTAACTCTTCCATAAGTAGAAACAAATGGTCTTTAAAAACTAAGGATGATGCTGAAAATATATAATTTCATTTTTTAATTTCTCATACTACTTTTAAATTTGGAAAAAAAAGGGGGGGGTGAAAGATAGCAAAATATAATATGCTAAATTTACTCCCTAAAGTTGAGTGAGAAACTTAATCTGAACAAGTAGAAGAGAACTACAAAACAAATCTGCTACACTCGACCGAGATAGCCTGGATTTGTGTGTCCCCTTCTAAGCCTCTGTAATTCATGTAGACATTCCCCAATTTGCAGAAGAGTTCATGTGTGAATTAGTTGTTTGGAACTTTAAACACATTTTCCCATGAAAACAAAGCTATTTATATATGTTGGCTCACTGCCCAGGGTAGCCATTTACTAAGGTTTAGTTAACCCATAATGGACCAAGAACCTCATACACAGTATAACAATGATGCTGTGGGAAACGAAATTCAGAATTTTAACTAGGAGTACTGGGAACACATCTCCCTGAACAGGACAAGCAGTGGGAACCATACCAAATCAACAGTTCCTTCAATCTGGTGTAGAACAGGGAGAAGAAAAGAAGACAGAAGGAAAGAATGTTTATGATGGCAATAACAGGAGAGAGAAGAGAGAGAAGGAGCATAGTCAGATTTACCATGGAACTGACAGGGTTCAGGACACACCACCCCAAAATATGGCACCTTGGCATACTGAATATTTTAAGCTAAAGGAAGTTAAACAGCATGTACAGGAAGGACTCCCTGACCTTCTTCCCTGAAGCAGGTCATAAGACCCTCAGGTGAGAGGTGTGCTCCTATACCTAGAGAACAGGGACATCCGTATCTCCAAGACAGAAGGGTACAGCCAGGAATCCGAACGAACAGGCCTTGCTAAATTTCCCAGTTGACTATGCTTAGTTCATACCTTCTGATCACTTTTTTTTTTTTTTTTTTAAGATTTTATTTACTTGAGAGAGAGTAAGAGTTAGAAGCAGAGAGCACAAAGGGAGAGGGAGAAGCAGACTCTCCCCTGAGCAGGGAGCCCGATGCAGGGCTTGATCCCAGGACCATGAGATCATGTCCTGAGCCGAAATCAAGAGCTGGCTGCCTAACCGGCTGAGCCACCCAGGTGTCCCTTCATACCATTTTATACTTCTAACCTGATTTAATTTTGTAATGTTAACACCAAAGGAGTTTACTGCCTTTTTAAATGAATAAAAATTTTAAATTTGCTCCTCTAATTTCTAATAAGGTAAATACTGATAGCTATAACTCACACAAACAAAAGCCCATTGTAATTATCAAGAGGGTAAAGAGATCTTAAGACCAAAACACCTGAGAACTGACACCCTAATCATCACACAGCTCCTGCAAAATCGGAGGAAAAATGCGAAAATTTCAGCCTCAACACTTTCCAACTTCTCCATAAATTTTGCAAAATGATTAAATTTTATAATTGGGTCATATAAACCAAGAAATTTAATTAATCACACATAGTTCACATACAGTAACTATTACAAGGCAATCTGATAAGAACTCTAAGTTACATACAGGCCTCAAAACACAGACCTACAGTTAAATTAAACTGCATATGGCAGCTTATTTATAACAAGGAAGTTAACTAACCAATCATCCCAAGAGATTTTCAAGAATTTTTTGAGAAGACATGGGTGAGGAATATTTTTGTCATTTTTTCCCCCAAAGTTAAATTCACAAGTAGTAATCAGTCTTTTCAGCACTATACTAATTGCATGGTGTATATATTCTTAAGGACTATAGTGCTCTTCAAGCTTTGTCAATATTCCCCAGCAGAAATTAAGATGGTAACATTCCCATTTAGGATGAAGCATACAGGAAAGGGTATTTTAAGTGCAGAGGGCAAAATTCAACAGCAGAAATGAGGAAAGTACTGCGACTGTATATCGGGCACCTGTCCTGCTTTGCCCACTGCACCAATAAAGATGTGAACAGTGGGAGAGCAAAGAATTATTAGAAAAATGCAAATTCTGAACTGATGTGAAAACATAATCATACCCCCAAAACCTGCAACAGCCCTCAGAATACCACCAAGTTCCCAGGAGAAGAGAACAAAAAGTTAGCTGTGGAACCCAAATTAACTCAAATTCCAATTTACATTTTAAGGAAGCATGGAAACATTTCAAAAGGTATATTTGCTTATATTTTGCAAAAGACTAAATAAAGTAAACCATGAACACTGCAATTTCAAAAACTTGACAAATAATATCTGAGATACTATCAAATACCTAAACTATTCCTTCGTGTTAAGCAAAGAAGCGTAGTCAAATAACAAGTGAATTTTTAAAACTGATCCCTGATGAAATTCTGAATTTTAAAAAAAGGTAAGGAGGAATGTCTTTCGAAAACTTACTTCTCATGTTAACATCTATTGGATTTACACTTGCAGCGTGAACTTTGATAATAACTTCATTTGGATAGTGTATGACAGGTATCATCATATTCTGAGTAAATCGAAGCACTTCATTCTTCCCGTATTTATCTATCACCCAGGCGGGCATGACAGTGCTCCTTGAAGAGGTAGTACTAATCTTTCCAACTAAAAGTTTTTGTATCGCGTGGCTTCTCCAGAAGCAAACCGCAGTACATGCATTTCTTCTAAGTACACACGTCTTCAGAAATTCCATCGTAAACATCAGTTGAACTGCGTGCCCTAATTAAAATGCATTTAAATGGGATCGAACTCCAACCCCTGAATCAAACACACTGGCCGATTTCAAAGTTGAGAATTCAAAAATGAAGTCAGCCTAACTAATGGAGCAAATGAAGGAAGAAGAATATGGAATTATTCTGCTCTTCCCATCTGAAAAGCCCCAATTAACGTTCCAGTCAATATTCTGTCCATTCTCCTCCTTCCTCACACCCCCTTCCCTTTGAAAAGCAAAAACAAAACCCCTAGAATCCAGCCCTGTCCCGGGAGCCCCCGGCAGGATAAGCTAACTCCGCTCGCGACCCAGACGCCACATAGAATCAGAGACTTCCCGACTCCCTCCGAGACCCTAGCCCGAGTCTCCTTACAACCCGCTCTCCTTCGCCGCAGGAGTTGCTTTGCGGCGCCAACCAATCGCGTGCAAAGATCATTTCCCCGAGCTGCAATTCGACCAATCTAAGTACTCGGTGTTGAAAGGGGCAGTGACGATCAAAGATGGCTGCGCCCGTGTGACCCCGGCGCGGGTGTTGACCTCTCTTATTCCTCCTTGTCACCTGGGCCTTATGGTGGCAGGCTGGGCACGAGGACCATGCTGGGCCGGACCCTCCGAGAAGTGAGTGGAACTGGCTGCTGAGGGCCCAGGGAGGTCAAAAAGATTCGCGGATTCCGTGGACAAGGAGCCCCCGGGTCTGACTCGCATCTTGGTCAGCCTCGCCGTCTCCTTTCCTGGAACTGGGTGGGTGCTTCAGACCTTTGGGGCCTTCAGCTGTACTCCCTGTACCCATTCTGGAGTTAGGACCTCAGCAAGGGAGACTTAGCGCGGAGCTGTGCGGTGGAAGTATACGGCGGCTTCTCAATTAGATGTTGCTAAGGCTTGGGTCAGACCCAAGACCCACTCTGGCGTCTTAGAGTGGGCTCCGCCAGTCCACTTCAGTCTCCTTCTGTCCCCGACACTCATCTGATGCAGTTCTCGCTAAGAGGCTCAGCAGATCTGTACTTTGCAAAATACAAACGAGTATTTTTTAGTCTCCCTCCCCCCCCGCCCCGCCTTGACATATTCTCTAGACTTCATCTACCACTAAGATACTAATGATTCTCTCACCTGTGTCTTCATGTCCTAGCCATCATTTTTAAACTCTAGTCTAATATTTGTAAGTGCCCTCTGGACATCTCTTCCAAATGCCCCATAACCACCTCCACTTAATTTAACCAAAGTTGACTTCAGCATTGTAATAGGACCACTTCTTATTTCTCAATCTCCACCTTAAAAAACAAAAACCTGATTTCTGAATTCTTAATATTCTCTTTTTAATGGCACAACTGTTAATCCCAGTTCCCCTACATTCTTTCTCATCTGTCATATCCAATAAATCACTAAGCCCTGTTAATTCTGTTTTGGAATTTATGTCTGGAAATTGTTTTATTCACTTACTCTCTGCTGTTAAGGCTTCAGTTCATGTCTCCTTGTTTTCTGGCCCGTATCTCTCAAACTTGAGAACTGTCTGCAGGCCCACTCTTACAAGAATCACATCAGGTTCTTGTTAAAACCACAGCTGTGTCCCACTTTGGCAGCTGTGTGATTTGAGGACCAGATTATATGGTTTAACCAAAGCTCCAGGTGATTCTGCTGGTAAGTAGGTGTGGAGGACCTATCCTGCCTTCCATCTTCCTGTTGTATCTTCACCTGGGAAATCTTCCAACCCCCCCCCGCCATATGGTAGCCTTTTAGAAAGCTATAAATTATCATAACTTAAAATTGACAGGCATTTAATAATATAGTCCTTTCCCAAAATACATTAGTATTTTACCATCTTAATATGGCTTCTGGCCTCTACTACATATTTCTGTACAGTAAATTCCTCTACTAAAGAATCCAATTTGTTCTTAAAAAAAAAAACAAAACACCAAAAACTAGTTTTAAAATGAAATGCAACCTATAAAAATACAGTATTTCCTTTCTCTGCCCTTTCCCCCTTCAGCAGCCCCTCTTTTGTGCCACCCCTTTCTGGTGTTGTTGAATGAGCCCCTGTGAGAAACAACTTTTGCCTCCAGGGGGAAAAAAAACAGGAGAGCTGACCTAAGGTACACAAGAGGTTGCCTGAACAGGATTACTTTCACTTAATTACTTCTTTAACAAATATTTGTTGATGCCTACTGTGCACAAAACATTATTTGGTAGTCATTTTCCCAGCCCAAAAAATATCTTCTCTCCGCTTTGTATTTTTTCTCAGATCATTATACATCCCAAATTCTACCAATTAGAGATTAATTATTTTAGTACATGTTCTCTTTTAAATACATCAAGATGCCTTGCAGGGTCGAATGATTTATTCACCCATTGTGAGTTATAATAGTTTAATAAAATTTCTCTCCATCACACGCTAGTTGATATAATCAATTGAAGAAAGGGAAAATTTGCTGGGGAGGAAATTTGGGAGAGGAGCTGGAAACTAGAGTTTTGAGGCAATGTTGGGGACCTAAGTGAGGCTTAGAGTAACAGGGGGCCTGGAAGGAAGCACTAAAAGGAGGTAACATGCCAAATGGGAGGTAAAAGTCCTATTTCTCAAGTTTTATGCAGGTACATTCAGGAAAGAGGAGGAGTCTCACTTTCACCTTCCTCTTTTGTGGTATCTTCCCAGTGTTTCTGGGAGCCAGACATCAGGCTAATATTAATCCTAAAGTTATTAATTATATATTGAATAGGCTTGTTGGGGGTCTACGTAAGAACACTTAATTCTATGGGAAAACAGATTCCAAATTTTAAATAACTCAGGTATTCATTCATTCAACTAACATTTAGTGAGCACCTCTGTGTTCCAGACATGGAATTAACATTGAAGACAAACAGAAGTTCCTGCCCTCATGAAGCCTGCATTTTTGTGGGGAAACAGGCATTAAAGAAGTGGGGTTTTTTTTAAGTAAATAATATAATCACAGGTAGTATAAGTACTATGAAGAAAGATTAGGCAGGCCACAGTGTGGGAACTCGTGGGGGGAGCCAGATGTGTTGGGAGTGGTCAGGAAAGGTTTCTCTATTTTTAAGAGATCTAAAGGATATGAAGGGGAAGCCCCGGGAAGGCCTGGGAGAATAGTATTCCAGGCCGAGGGAACAGTAAGTGCAAAGGGTCTGAAGCAAGAGCAAGCTTGACACATTCAGGAGTTGCAAGAAGGCCAGCATGCCTAGAGAAATATGAATGAAGAGGAGAATAGTGGGAGATGAGGTTAGAGAGAGAAACAGGAGCCCGATCATGGAAAACTTTAGGCCGTGCTAAGGAGTGTGGATTTTATTCTAAGTGTAATGAGAAGCCTCTGGAAATTTGTGAGTATGTGGATATGATTTGATTTAAAATTTAAAAAGCTCCCTCAGGTTATTCCTAAAGACATGGTCTGTAGGAAAGCAAGCGAGGAAGCAGGAAGATCAGTTAGAAGGCAAGAGATGATGGCAGCATAGATGGGGTGGCCATAGAGATAATGTGAAATGGGATTGTTTTTTAAGTTAGGGCTTGCTGATGGATTGGATACAGAGTTTGAGGGAAAGAGAAGAATGAAGGAGGATGGTTAGATTTTTGACCTGGGCAGTTGTGAAAGTGGTAACATCAAGATGAGGAAGAGGTTTTTTTCCCCCCATTTTTTTTAATTGAGGTGTAATTGATATAGAACATTATATTAGTTGCAGGTGTACAACATAATGATTTGGTATTTGTATACACTGCAAAATGATCACAATAAGTCTAGTTTTTCCCGATCACCATATAAAGTTACATAATGTACAATATTGTTGACTATAATCACCATGTTGTACATTATATCCCCATGACATTTATTTTATGACTGGAAGTTTGTACCTCTTGTACCTTCTCCCATTTTGCCCATCCCCTAACCTCCTTCCCTACTGGCACCCATCAGTCTGTTCTCTGCACCTATGAGTTTTGTTTTGTTTTTTAGATTCCACATGTAAGTGAAATCATAACGTTATTTGTCTTTTTCCTGACTTGTTCCACTTAGCATAATACTCTCAAGGTCCATCCATGTTGTCACAAATGGCAAGATTTCATTCTTTTTTAATGGCTAATATTCCACCGTACATATACCACATCTCCTTTATCCATTCGTCCGTCAATGGACAGGTTGTTTCCACATTTTGGCTATTGTGAATAATGTTGTAATGAACATAAGGGTGCATGTATCTTTTCGAATTAGTGTTTTCATTTCTTCGACTAAATACCCTGAATTGGAATTGCTGGATCATATGATAGTTCTGTTTTTCGTTTTTTGAGGGCCCCCATTCAGGAAGGACTCTTAGGAAGCATATTTGGAAGGAGGAAAGTTATCAAGACTTCTGTTCTGGGCATGTTAATGTGGAGATGTCTGCTAGCTATCCAGGTGAAGAAGTCATTTAAGCAGGTGGCTATCTAGAAGTTTGGAGGTCAGAAAGGCAGCTAGGTATGAGGATATAAAGTGGCCAGAGTATAGAAGATAATAAAAGTGTGTGGCCAGATAAGAACACCCAGGGAATTGAGTACAAAAACAGAAGAAGGCCTAAAACTTTCCAACATTTAGAGTCAGCAATAGGAAGCAGAGCCAGCAAAAGAGACGTTGAAGGAATGGTCAGTAAGGCAAGAGGAAGACCAGGTCTTGGTGTCCTGAAACACAAGTGAAAAAGCTTCAAGAGGAGAGTGTTCTCTTAAGTTGAATGCTGCTGAAAAGTACTTGTAAGATGAGGACTGAGCATTGACTGCTGGATTTAGGAATGTGAGGTTGCTAGTGATCCTGATGCAATTTCTTGAAACATTGGAGACAAAAGCGTGAATGGAGTGTGTTAATGTGTTCCAGTCAACTGGACACTCAGGCCTCAAGGGCTCTCCTATACCTTCAGCATTTATCAAGACAATTCTTTTTAAAAGGTGGTTCTTTTCCTAAGTGAACTTCTGATGCTCTCTGTAAAGTTAATAGTATAGTGGTCCAGAGCATGGGATTTGGAAACAAGAACAGGCCTTGGTTGAATCCCAGCAGCTCGGCTACTTTCTAGCTTTGTGACCTCAAGCAAGAATGTTAGTTTTTTTATCTGTAAAAAGAAAATAAGAATATCAGCCCCTCATAGTGGATATAAAGATTAAATGAAATATAAAGCATCGGTGGGTGGAGGGATGGGTGAAATAGATGATGGGGATTAAGGAGGGCACTTACTGTGATGAGCACCAGGTGTTGTATGGAATTGTTGAATCATTATATGGTACACCTGAAACTAATAGAACACTGCTAACTATACTGGAATTAAAATTTTAAAAATCTTGAAAAAAAAGAAATATAAAGCATCTAGGATAATGCCTAGAACTAAGTGCTATTATTGACATTAATTTTGTTATAGGGACAGATTTACTAAATTATATGTATTTACAGTGATCTCTTTCCCTAGTTGTTAAGAGTGGCTCCTGAGGAAGATTTCTTAAGTTTTCTAAGAAGATGTATTATTTTTCTCTTGCTGCCTAACAAATTAATATAAACTTTTTGGCTTAAGATAATCCTATTATCATCTTACAGTTTTGTGGGTCAGGAGTCCAGAAATGGAGTAGTTGGGTTCTCTGCTCACAAGAGTCTCACAAGGCTGAAATCAAGGGGTCAGCCAAGGCTGTGGTTTCATCTGAAGCTCAGGGTCCTCTTTCAACCTCATTGGTTGTTGGAAGACTCTGTTTCTTTGCAGTTGTAGGACTGAGGTCCCCATGTTTTTCTTGACCATGTGGATGGTTGAGCAAATAAGCTGAGTGGACAGGAGGTGTGGGATAACTAAAATTGAGGTTTTGGAGGTTCTAGAGATACTGGTAATGATGTAGTCTGAGCTGAGTTGGTAACTGGGGCAAGGTGAAGGAAAAGTTTGCCTGAAATGAGGTCAAGAACTGAGAGGCCAGGTGTCAGTGTACGTTACTTGAAGTCTGAAGTCAACCAGAATAACAGCAGGAGCCACAGTAAAGATTAAAGGGAGCTAAGTGTGAGAATCTTCAATGAATGAAAAGGAGTACTCGGGAGACGGTGGATTCACACCCCAAGGAGAGTGATATAAGATCCCCCAAGGCCTGTACTTCAGCTGAGCTGGGACTTTTGAACGAAGAGGGAAGAGGAAGGCATTGAGGAATGAGGAGGATGCCTGCCTGCACATTCTCCCTTCCCCCACTGGACTCTGGTCTATGGTGGGTAGAAGCTAAAGCAGTCATCTCTTGAGAAAGCTGCAGGACAAGCAGGGGTCTCAAGGAAAAGCCTACTTTCCATTAGAGAAAAGTCAGGGAGAACGAATTTGGTTTAACAAAAACTCTTATAGTTGATTTCATCTTATATTCAGCTACACCACCTTCAGTTTTGCCCCAGGGAAGCTGCACTGTTTTATTTCACACTCCTTATACTCAGGCCATTCTAGCTAGTTACCATCTTTGTTTTCATTTCCGTTCTCCAGTTCTCTTACTGACTTTCTCAAATCTGGATTTCCTAAGAATGGTCCTAATGAAGATCAGCACCATTTAAAATGAGTGCTCCTGGACAGTCTCATTTCTTGCCCTTGTAACCACCACTGTAACTCGTTTCCCTTGTATTCTTATACCAGCTGGCAAGTCAGGAAGCAGCCTGAGGATAGTAGGCACTAGGAGACTTGAGGGGAGGCAAAGAAAGACGGGCATAATTTTCTTCATTACCATTTTGGCCATGGCATAGCCCAGTTGCCCTGCCCCTTGCAGGGCCCCTCCCCTAGCCGCCCCTTGGCGACGCTTTCCTCCTCTTGTGCATCAGCCTGAGGGGACCTCTCCTTGGCCTATTGCCACTGCTTTGCTCCCCTAAAACCCTCAGCCCTAAGAATACTGCTGCTTTGATGATTTAATCAACAGCTGAGAGCAGATGAGATGCAGATTTTCTCCTCAAATGCAAACTCTTGTTGCCTGGTGGATGTCGGACACCTGAAGGTGCAGTCAGCTCAGAGGACAGACTAAGCTTGCTGTAGCGCAGAGAGAGAGAGTGGAAGAGCACGTGTTTATGACCTCCCCTCTACCCTGTACTGCTGTGTGGCTTCGGACAAATCACTAACCTCTCTGAGCTTCAGTTTCTGCATCTGTAAAATGAGGTTAATAAGATATAACTTACATGGTTGTGTTAAGGTGAAGGGAGGTAGTAATGCACGTAAAGCAATAGTATCCGGCTCTTGGTAAATACTCAATAAACATTACTCCACCCATCCACCTTCTCCCCAAGCCCCCATCTCATCCAACTCTGTTGAGATAATCTGCAAAGCTTTGGTGTCATCTTTGACTTATTGTTCATTGCTTTTATCTAATTAGTAAGTACTTATTATTACTTCCTCCAGGAAGTATTAAATAGTCATCATTTCAAGCTTCGCTTACTGTAAACATATAGATTCTGGTCACTTGTGGTGCAGTTTATCTTAACACTTTGTTTACTAGCCTTTCTAATGCCTCCAAGACAGGATTGCGGAGAAGTTTGGTTTTAGTTTGCTTTTGAACCCATATTTTATAAGCATTTCTCTCAACTTGTAGTGGCTCTTACTCGAATTCTGCAGTAAAACATAAAGATCTCACTTCGAGTCATGAGGTCCTGCAGGGCCTTGTCCAACTGTTGCTCTCACTCTGTAGTGCCTGCATTCCCGGCTTGCCCCACCCATGCCCCACCCACGCCAAGCCTCCCCCCCACCCCATCCACCCCTACTCAGGCTGATGGGTGCATTACCCTCATTCACTATACTCCCGAGGTATAGAGTTCTCTTCACTTCAACATTTTACACTTCACCACTCTATCTCCCCACTCAGTATAATACTTGTATCTTCTGCAGCCTCAGTAAAAGTTTTTTTTTTTATTTTATGTTATGTTAATCACCATACATTACATCATTAGTTTTTGCTGATTCATTGTTTGCCTGTAACACCCAGTGCTCCATGCAGTATGTGCCCTCTTTAATACCCATCACCGGGCTAACCTATGCCCCCACCCCTCAGTAAAAGGTTTTTGAATTGTATATATTAGAGGTTTCTACAGCACTGAAACAAGGCCACATTACTCCAACAGAGCTCTGTCAAAAATGTCTCTCCCTTATCAAGAAGACCAAATTTCTAAATGCTTACATTACTGTATCAGAAGAGGTGGCCTTAAAGCAAGCTGAAGAATCGGAGAAAAGATACAAGAAAGGTAAATTACTGTGAATTTTACTTAACTGGCATATCCCTAGAGAAAGAATTTAATTGGATGTAGCAGTCTCCATTTGTCAAGTGAGGCTTTTTAACATAAAACATAGCCTTATTTAAAGAACTTGCGGGCGCCTGGGTGGCTCAGTCGTTAAGCGTCTGCCTTCGGCTCAGGTCATGATCCCAGGGTCCTGGGATCGAGTCCCACATCGGGCTCCCTCCTCGGGGGGAAGCCTGCTTCTCCCTCTCCCCCTCCCGCTGCTTGTGTTCCTGCTCTCGCTATCTCTGTCTCTGTCAAATAAATAAATAAAATCTAAAAAATAAATAAATAAATAAAGAACTTGCCATGAGGTACAATAAAAATAAGGCTAATGGGTATGTGATGCTTTCTAATGCCCAACTGTAATAATTTCTAACATCAACTTGAATTATGAAGAAGTATCTTTACCAAAAACTAATAGTTATTATAATAGCTAGTATTAATGTGTCTTTATATTCTGGATGTAGCTCCTATTCTTTTGGCTTTTTAACGCAGGTCACTCACTTGGGGATTTAGATGGAATTCCCGTTGCAGTAAAAGACAACTTTAGCACGTCCGGCATTGAGACAACATGTGCATCAAACATGCTGAAAGGTAAAGTTTAATCGACCAGAGCATTAATAGTTTTATGAAACTATTTTTTCAGCTTAAATTAAAGATAAGATACTAAAGCACCAAAGTATTCTCAGACTAATTATATCTGCAAAAGAAGTACTTAGGCTGGAATATTTTTACTATTGGCTCTTTCGGAATTCAAAATTATCCCTTAGAGGTAGGCCAGCTTAATGGATGTATCCTATTTAGGATGTTTTAGAAATCCTACTTAGGGAGATTTACTAACTGACCACCACACACACACTCAGCGCCCTCTGACTCCCACTCATCAATACCACGGGACTAGGGAGGAAGGAGCTGTCATCACCCCTCTCGTGAGGGTGGTCTGAGGATTCGCTTTTATTGTCTAGTTGTTTTTTGTTTCCCAACTCCTCCATCTCTTATATCACTATATTTATCTGAGTATATAGTGATGCTTAGTTTTATTCTTTACAGTTTAGTAGGTCAAAAGGAAACCTGTTTCTCAAGATTTCTGGATCCTAGAAAGAAAAAGACATGGCAAAATCTTGTTCAGAGTGCTACACACTAAAAGAAAGTCTATGAGGAATATGCCCCAGGTTCCTCTGATAGGTAGATTGTTGATAATTGTCTTGGAGTACACACTAGGTGAAATTTCAGTTGAGAATAAAGATCTGTTTCTGACTGGAAATAGATAAAAAATTACTATGGGATATATAGCATTTCAAGTACAATGAGCAAAATAATGATGTGCTATTAGTTTCAAATGAATTGGGTACATCTCTATCATTCAGTATTGTGTAGTAGTAACTGTTAATGTTTTTAGATGATAAAAATAGTGAATATACCATTGCCTTTGGAAAATGGAGCAATTAGCAGTAGCAAGATTAAAATTAACTAGCTTTTGGAAGAAAGTACTACCTGCTACTCAAATTAGGAATAATTAATACATGTCAATATCAATAGCTTAGTTGTAGTTTAAAATCTTGTTTCTTGCGTGTGATTTACATGTTCACTGTTTTCTCTCCTACAATAAAAATAATTTTTTCAGGTTATGTACCACCTTACAATGCTACAGTTGTTCAGAAATTGTTGGATAAGGGAGCTGTCCTGATGGGAAAAACAAATTTAGATGAGTTTGCAATGGGGTAAGTAAAATTAAAATTTTCTTCTCTTGTTTTTCTTTCATCTTTGTCTTTAATTTCATTAAATGTAGGTACCCAAAAGCCCTGAGGTGATTTCTTGAGGACTCTAAAGCCAGTTTCTCAGTCCCTCTGTGAGATTATGTTTTATTGTTTAATAGGTATATGGTCAGATCTCATTTTGGTTTTAGTTTGCATTGCCCTGATGACTAATGATGTTAAACATCATGTGTTTATTTTGCTACCCATGTTTCTTCTTTGGTGAAGTATTTATTCAAATCTTTTACCCTTTTTTTTTTTAATTGGGCTGTTTGTCCTACTGAGTTCTAAGAGTTCTTTTATATATTATGTATTCTGGATTCAGGTCCATTGTTAGGTAATTTGCAGATAATTTCTCCAAGTCTCTGGCTTGTCTTTTCGTTCTCTGAACATTCCTTTCAAAGAGTGAAAGTTCCTAATTTTGATGAAGTCCACTTCATCTTTTTTTTTCTTCTACGATTAATGCATTTTGTATCTTAACTAAGAAATTTTTACCTGACCCACAGTTACAAAGATTTTTCTCCTAGAAGTTTTATAGTTTTTATCTCTAGACTCATGATCCATTTGAGTTAATTATCTTGTATGTGGTGTGAATAAAGCCAAGGTTCATTTATTTGCACAGGTGTCCAATAGTTCTGGCCCTATTTGTAAAAAAAAAGAGATTATCCTTTCCTCATTAAATTACCTTGGTTTCTTTGTCAAAAATCAGTTGGAGCATATATACATATATAGATCTATTTCTGGATTCTGTTCTGTTGATCTCTCTCTCTACTTACTTTAATATCATGCTATCTTGATTCCTGTAGCTTTATTTTTTTTTTTAAGATTTCATTTATTTACTTGAGAGAGCAAGAGAGAGTGAGAGAGCACGAGTGGGCTGGGGGAAGGGCAGAAGAAGAGGGAAGAGCAGGCTTCCCACTGAGGAGGGAGCCTGACGTGGGGCTCGATCCCAGGACCCTGGGCCAAAGGCGGACGCTTAACCTACTGAGCCACCCAGGTGCCCCAGTTCCTGTAGCTTTATAGTAAGCCTTGAAATTAGGTAGCGAGAATCCATTAACAGTTTTTCTTTTTCAAAATTATTTTACATATGCTAGGTCCTTTGCATTTCCATAGAAGTTTTAGAATCAGCTTGCTGATTTCTACAAAGAAGCTTGATGAGATTTTGATTATGATTGTGAATTTATAGATCGATTGGGGAGATTTGACATCTTAATATGTATCTTATGATCCATGAACACTTTATATCTATCCATTTATTTAGATTTTAATTTTTCTCAGCAGTATTTTTATGATTTTTTGCATATAAATCTTGTATGTAATTTGTTTGATTTATTCCCAAGTATTTCAACTTTTTTTTAGATTTTATTTATTTATTTGAGAGAGAGTGAGCATGAGTCTGTGGGAGGGGCAGAGAGAGAGGGAGAAGCAGACTCCTCGCTGAGCAGGGAGCCTGACAACGCAGGGTTCTATCCCAGGACCCTGAGATCATGACCTGAGCCAAAGGCAGATGCTTAACCGACTGAGCCACCAAGACACCCCCCAAGTATTTCAGTTTTTTAATGATAAAATGGTATTTTTTTTAATGTCTAATTGTTTGTTAGTATATAGAAATATAATTGATTTTTCTATATTGACCTTGTATCCCATGACCTTGCTAAGCTCTCTTTTTAGTTCTAGTTGATCTTTGTAGATTCTTTGGTATATTGTATGTAGATGATCATGTAGCCTAAAAATAGAGGCAGTTTTATTTCTTCTTAATTCTCTTTCTTATTGTGTTGATTAGGACTTTAGTACAACACTGAGTAGAAGTAATAAGAGCAGATATCCTTGCCTTGTTCCTGTTTTGGGAGAGAAAGCATTCACCAAAAGTGCTTTCTATTTTCCCTTTTATAACACTTGTCACATTTGTAATATTTGCTTGGTCTGTGCTCCCTGTTTCATAGAAGCAGAATCTTTGACTCTCTTATTTACAGTGGTATCTCTTGGCACTCAGCAAATATATGTTGAATGAATTAATCCATGAGAGTAAACTTGAACATTGGTTATTAGGACATTGCCTTGAACAGCTGATCAAAATGAACATAATCAGTGAGGGTAAGTGGACATCGTGTAACACTAGATGTGATTCCCTAAGGACATACCATCATCTATGCGGTATTCCAGCTGAGAATGTTAAACCTGAAACTAATAACAAGGAAATAAAAGATAAGTCTGAAGTGAGAAACATTCTGTTAAAATATGAATATCATAAAAAATGAAGGAAGGCTATGAAAATATTCCCAGATTAAAAGAGCCTAAGGAAAGTATAACTAAAACTTATAGAAGAAAATGTAGGAGAAAATCTTTGTGACCTTGAGTTAGGCAAAGATTTTTTAAATGAGACACATGAAGTACAATCCATAAAATAAAAAACTGATAGATTGGACTTCACTAGAATTAAGAACTTCTCTACTTTAAAATACATTACTAAGGGCGCCTGGGTGGCTCAGTTGGTTAAGCGACTGCCTTCAGCTCAGGTCATGATCCTGGAGTCCCGGGATCGAGTCCTGCATCGGGCTCCCTTCTGAGCAGGGGGTCTGCTTCTCCCTCTGCCCTCTTCCCTCTCGTGCTCTCTGTCTCTCATTCTCTCTCTCTCAAATAAATAAATAAAATCTTTAAAAAAAAAAAAATACATTACTAAAAAATGAAGAAACAAGCCACAGCCTGAGAGAAAATCTTTGCAAAACATATATCTAAGAAAGAACTGGCATCCAGTATATATAGAACCTTACCCAACTCAAAAATAAGAAAACAGCCCAATTAAAAAAAAAATGGATAAAATATGTAGGCAGACATTTCATCAAAGAAGATATATAGTTGGCAATAAACACATGAAAAAAAAGCTGAGCATGGTTAGTCATTCAGGAAATGCAAATTAAAACCACAAGGAGATACATACACCTGTTAGAATGGCTTAAAAATGACAGTATCAAGTGCTAACAAGGATGCAGAGCAGTTGAGTATCTCATACAGTGTTGGTAGGAAATGCAAAATGGTATAGCCGTTTTGGAAAATAGTTTGCCAGTTTCTTATAAAGTAAACATCATATGATCCAACATTCTCAGTCCTACATATTTACCCAAGAGATGAAGACTCATATTTACACAAAAGCAATGGCTGGGGTCTTTCAGTACAATATTTATTGTGGCTTTATTCATAATTGCCAAAAACTGGAAATAACTCAATGTCCATTGGCTGGTGAATGATTTAAAATGTACAAAAAGAAGCTAAAGAGATGATGATAACTAAATGCAATACCTGACTCGAGACTGTACTGGGAGGGGGTAAAATGCTGTAAAGGACATTATTGAATCAGCTGACCAAACTGGATTTCATACAATGGATTAGATAAAAAGATTGTATGATGTTAAGTCTACTTGAGATTGATAACTGTGCTGTGACTGCATAAGGGAAAACCCTTACTGTTAGGAAATGCACAGTGAATACATACTAAAATATTTAGGGGTAAAGGGCCATGATACACCTAATTTACCCTTACGTGGTTCAGAAACAAAAAGTATTTGTATATGTTACAGACACACATAAAGTACACAAATGGTAAAACAGATTGGGTGATTTGTTAATAATAGGTGAATCTGGGTAAAGGGTATAAAGTCCTTTTCATATTTGATTTTTGCAACTTACCTGTAAGATTGAAATTAATTCAAAACTTTTAAAATAAGTTATTATTTAACTTACACTTGTCTTAAAACATCTGGTTAATAGAGGGAATCCTTCAGAGGACTTCTTGTTAACTCTTTGAGTGTTTATGACACTCTTCAACTGCAAGACCTTGATTTACAAGGGAAATCATCATAAGCTGAATTGGATGATCAACTGGGGTAAAAATCCTCTTTCCTTAACCGACTAGTTTTCTCTACTTTCTCCCACATGCTTTTACTTCCCATCCTCCACCTCCTCAACCATCTAATTAATGAAGACTACATCTAAGCAGGCTTCTTGCCTTTTCCAATTCAAGTTCCAGTGGATTATACAGTGTTAGGAGCAAATAATATAATCAGGAAGTGAAATTCTCATATAAAGTGAAAGTTTCGTTAAAGATATCTTGCTTCACTTCATCTCAGATCTGGAAGCACAGATGGTGTATTTGGACCAGTTAAAAACCCCTGGAGTTACTCAAAACAATATAGAGGAAAGAGGAAGCAGAAGGCCCATGGTGAGAATGAGGATTCAAATTGGCTTATAACTGGAGGAAGCTCAGGAGGGAGTGCGGCGGCTGTAGCAGCGTTCACATGCTTTGCGTAAGGTGCTTTCTTCTGTTGTAATGTAAAGCCCGACCAAATGCAAAGAGTCATAAACCATCCTCAGAATCCAACAATAGAGTAGTTCATACGTGCTGTTTTTATTTCTTTTCAGTGAGTTATTTGTGCTTGATGGTATATAAAAATTGTATCTTATAAATATGCTCAGCTGTACAGTATATGTAATGTGTATTTTATACATTTAACTTTAATTGAAGATAATATTTAAATTCTTCCTCTCTAGTAACTGGTTTTCTTAAAAAACATGATTTTATGGATCTTGCAGAATAAACCAGTTAGCATAATTGAATTTCATTTTTAAAATAATTTATTTGGGTTTCTGTTCACCGATGGTACAAATATTTAGGGACTAAGATACCATGGCTTTAGTTGAATGCTGCTGAGCTATTAATTATGGTTTATCCTTCAGCTAAATCAGGCTTGTCTAAAAAAAAAGGGGGGGGAGAAAAAAATGTTCCTGATATATATCAGTAGGATATTTAAAATAGTGTTTTCATAAATCTGCAACTAAAAATGTGTATCATGGAGTAAACTTTTCTTCATGTTTGTTAGGAGCTGATTTGTTCAACTGTCCTATTTTTGTATTTGGGAAGAATCCATCCATCATGCTTTATGTTTTAAGTCCCATTTGTAAAGCATTTCTTAACCACCTAAAGAAGAGTAAATAAATACCACTGTTATTTACATTCTCAGTTTCAGTATAAAATTGAGTGTGTTTCTTTAGTAGTACTGTATGTATTTCATTTCTCCTTAATTACCCACTGAAACTAAGCTCTGTCACAGACATTGAAACCAATAAATTATTTATATTTTGAGATTTAGATTCTTGAGGGGTTTTTTTTGGTTTTTTTTTTTTTAGTTTCTCTGAAATCTTATTTACAAGTAAAACCATTTCATTTTCTCTCTGTGGAATTTTGTAGCATTGCATTAATATTAATGAGAGTTCTGACAAGTTAGGACTGCAAGATTAGGTGCTTTTTTCTCCTCTCATCATGCTACTTAATGTTCATCTTTCTGAATGTGCTCAGAGAAGATACGGCATTTTGACACATAATTCCTATGGAAATGTAGGTTTTACTTTTATACAGCCATCAGTGAATCCTAATAAGAAAATGTGTCCTTTTAGAAATTGTGAAAGCAACAGCCTGATTTCGTAGCTTACGTGGACTTGGTAAGAAAGACAATCTAATTTGCATTTTCTGTAGAGCTCAAGGGCCATGTGACTGGTAGGAGCCTTGTTCAGTCCAAAGCTTTATTCTGGGTATAGTCAAGAGAGGCACAGACCCAAAGTAACTTCAGATTGAATGGGTCCCAAATTATCAGGTGTTCTGCTTTGTTTCCCCACCCCCCTTTTGATTTGCTTCTTTTATAATAGTTTTAAAAACAGGAAGGTTGTTTACCCACTAAAAGGAATGAGCGAGAGTGCTTTGTAGTGTCGGAAAGATATCAAAGATACACTGTTACGTGGAAAATAAGTTGCAGAATACTACATACAGTATGACCTTCTTTCTGTTAAAAGTAATAATTACATACGTATATATGTTAGTTGCATGGAAGTGTCTGGATGAGTATATCAAAACTGATAATGGGGTTGTTAGGGAGGCAGTGATTATAAGAGAAATTTCACTTTATACACTATATACTTACACAATATTTTAAATTTTGTAGTTGGCACATATACTTTTCTAATCAGAAAAACCTTTTTTCTCTGAAATAAAGTTTAAAAAAAATTTTAATTATGGTAAAATGTACATAACCTAAAATTTACCATCTTAAGCATTTTTAAGTGTACAGTTCAGTGTTAAATACATTCACATTGTTGTGCAACCAATCTCCAGACTTGGTTCATTTGCGGAACTGAAACTTGGTACCCTTTAAACAACAGCTTCCCATTTGCCTGTCGCCCCAACCCCTGGCAGTCACTCTTTTACTTTCTGTCTCTATGAACTTGAAGACTCTAGGTACCTAGAGTGAAAATTATTTAGTATTTGTGCTTTTATAACTGACCTATTTCACTTAACAAAATGTCCTCAAGATTAGTTTTTGGTTTTGTTTTTAATAAGAAAAACATATACTCTATAGGTAACTGAGCAAAGAAATGAGCACTTCATAGTTGGGTAATGCAAATACAAATAAATGTGAAAAATTATTCAAAAATGCACATTAACAAAGCTTTTTGGTTATTCGGATAACCAGCTTTTAAGAACTGCTAGTACTCAGTGATGATAATAAAACATAAGGCCAAATCTGATTCAGTGCAGTTGGAAATATAAATTGGCAGAGCCTCTCTGACAAGTCATTTGACAATACAGATTAAGAACTTAGAATAACAGGCAGACCCTATGGCTCATTAACTCTACTTCTTGGAAGCCAGCCTAAAAAATAATCAGGCATATGGGCAAAGATTTATGTTTACAGGTGTTTATTACAATGTTATTTATTATGTAGTTATTATCCTTCTTGGCAACAACATAAATGTTTAAATAAAGTACATTTCTATCCATGATTCTAAGTGAGGTAGCAGAAAGTTCTGTGTATAAATTTCTGGGAGAAGTGTGTTTAGTTTATAAAAGCATACTGCAAAACTGCCATTAAAGGAAGGTATAAGGTATCTGTATGTATACTGATAGGAGAATGGGCTTTAAAATCCTGGGAATCACAATTGATATGATGGAATACTATACATATTTTAAATTTTCAGTGATTTTAATGAGTTAGCAAAAGGCTCATGATAAGAAAAAAAGAGATGGGAAGTTATAATTACAGAATGACCTGAGCCATGAAAGAAAACTGCATTTTAAAAAAGTCTTGAAGTTAATATGCCAAAATGTTAATAGTGTTTGCCTCAGGCGGTAGAATATTTTGTTACCTCTTTACACTTTTTCTATATTTTAGGAGTTCTCTGAGACAAGCATGTCTTACTTTTGTATAACTGGGGGAAATAAAATTTAAAAGTATACACTTAAAAATAGATTCCAGATATAATGGGAGATATGTCATTCTTCTAAAGAAAATTCCGTTTAAATTCCAGGGCTTTAGGATCAGATACAGGAGGATCGACCAGAAATCCAGCTGCCCACTGTGGGGTTGTTGGTTTCAAACCAAGCTATGGCTTAGTTTCTCGTCATGGCCTCATTCCCCTGGTGAATTCAATGGATGTGCCAGGAATCTTAACCAGATGTGTGGATGATGCAGCAATTGTGTTAGGTATTTATATGATTCCATAGAGTTTCAAAACATTGTAAGTTTCACTGTAAAACAATATGTCTGTCATTCCTAAGTATTTTTCTTTACAGGTATGCTGGCTGGGCATGACCCCAGAGATTCTACCACAATACAAGATCCTGTTAAACCATTTACACTTCCCACTTTGGCAGATGTGAACAAACT